TCATCATCCATCCTGATGCTGCCAATTGGTCCAGTGGTGAGAATCTTTGTCTTCTTGACGTTGAGCCTTAGTCCATACTGAAGGCTGCAGTCCTTGACTTCAGTATATATATATATATACCCTCTAATAAAATATTTCGCTTCCCTTCCTTTTCCATCTTTGGTACTCTCAAAAGGCTTCAATGAATATTTCTTTCTGTGTGTACCTTTTTTCCTTGACTTATTATAGTAGTAATCTGATACAATGTCCTTTTGCGATTGACTAATTACACTGAGCATAATGTCCTCCAGACAAGGTGCTTTTTAAAAGACATATGGGATCTTGAAACAGCATCTTGAAAGATTAAGTAGGAACCTTGAAGGGCAGTGAGTTTATGTTAATAAAGAAGGAATACCTCAGGAAAGGAATGTGAAAATGATTGTAAAACTCAAAGAATGTAATCAATGTCACTGAATTGTATAGGTGGAGAAGATTGAATTGCTACAGTTATTCTATATATTCTCAACAACAACAACAAAATACAAATTTGGTTAAAAATGTAATAAAAGAGATTTCCAGAAGGAGGTGAAGTTTAGAACAGTGCTTCTAAGATTGTGATCCTTGAGTCAGTGGCAGCTGCATCTATCCCCAAGGAGTTTGTTAGGATGTAAATCCTTGGGCCCCATTCAAGCCCCCCTGCATCACAAACATGAGGAGTGGATCCAGCTCTCTCCTCTAGAGAGCCCTTCAAGTGAGTCTGATGTATGCTGCTGAAGTTTGAGGACCATAGTACTTGGAGGAGAGAGTAATCTTAACACTATCGCATTAGTCACATTCATTCTTTTTTGAATGATAAATGCAGCTAGCAGCTGATTCATTCACTACCACCTCTTTCTCCCATGTAGTAGCTGGTGACTTCAAACTACTGACCTTTGGGTTTGCTGCCATGTGCTTTAACTATCAGGACCTCTTTTCAAAGAAAAGGAGTGTTTAATAGTTTTTTTAAAGGAATGTGGGGGTTTTAATACTATTATTTTTAGATACCATCAGCTCCTGAAGCTTGGCACGCCATACGCTCTAGAGCTGCGAAGCTTCGTGGGGTTTTCTTGACTATAATCTTTCTAGAAACAGATCCCCGCCCCCTCTCACACAAAACCACTGGGTGATTTGAACCACCAACCTTTCAGTTAACTGCCTATCACACATTGCTTACATCACTCAGCTTCTTTAAGGGTTCTCAGTATATCCCTTACTGACTTCCTATCCTTGTATCTGAAAGCAGGATTAAAGTGAGATTTTTCTGTACCAATGGATTTTAAGACATAAGCTGGGGTGTTTGGGTAGGAGGATAGTGAGGAGATTAATACATGGGAAAACAATGAAGAAATGAGAGGTCTGGAAAGACAAAGTACAGAAGCAAAGCTGGGAAGGGTGTTTTTGAGGGGACCTCCCTGCATTAGTGGGTTGAGAAGGTACTAATGGAAGTCTCTCAGAAGAGAAGTTTCTGCCAGCTGAGCACCCCTTTACTGGCCCCATGTGACTCTGTCTGACGGAAGAGGGTGTGATCTCTCCCTAGAACTCTACTATGACCGTGGGAACCATCACGAGTTTGTGTCCCTGGTGAAGGATCTGGCCCGGCCTGGAGAGATTACCCAGTCACAGGCCTTTGACTTTGAATTCACACACGTGGAAAAGCCGTATGAATCTTACACGGGGCAGAACGTGAAGCTACGGTAAGTTGTGTTCACCTCTTCCACAGTCTTGCTGTGAAAAGTACCCAAGTTGATGAGTACCTGAGGCTGTCCTGCTGGGAGGAGTCTTTTATGTGGTATTGGATTGTGGGTGGAAGAGAGTTGAGAGCAGGGCTGTGATGGTAAAAGTGCATTGACTTTCTCTCCCTTCCCTTCCCTTCCCTTCCCTCCCCTCCCCT